TCATCAGACCTGCACTAACTCATACTTGGTATCTAATACAAGTGTTTTTAAGGTTTTCTGTGAGATGGAAAAAGGAGCATTGTGCTGGGCAGTTTTTCTTGTCAAGGTGATTGAAAATGTTTTCTTGACAATTTTGTCTAGCTTACAGATGTTTGCTGTAGTAACAACTGCCTTGCTGACTCCTTAAAAGTTAAGGCATTGAGCTCATGGCTCCTCTACCTGTATTGGCTTTCTAGGCCTTATTCCTTTTTGTACTCATTACTTAGCTTGGAATAGCATACCTCCAGCCTCTAATGAATGTGAACAGCATTAACATGAGGATGCTGAAGTATAATTTCAGGTTGGGTGTGTGAAGTACTTTGTCACCACTGAGGCCTTTGCTGGAGGAAAATTCTCATCCTGTTGCTGGATGGACATGGAGAAAGAAGTCTTGGTGCGAAGTTCTGTAGGACATTTGACAAGTTATTTTAGGGTGTTTATAACCTGGGTTTTTCAGACTTGTTTTTTGGTATCAGGCTGTCACCAGTTGACTTCTGAAGGACAGAATTCTCCATTGAAATCATTTATTTTCTTTCCCCAGGTTATCATCTATATCATCGTATCAGCTGCCTGCGGTGGGCTTGCATGGCCAAGCTGTGTGCAGAAGTAACCAGAGACAGCTGGTGCTGGTCAGTTGGAGATGAGAATCACAGCAGTGTGAAGAAGCGACCTACGGAATAACTCTTAATCTTTCACTACTGACACCTTCTCATTCTTCATCCCTCCAGGACTTCAGACTTTCTGCCTTATCACCCCAAACAGGCCCAGCCGGTTGCTGCTTTTGTGCAGCTGTAACCTCAAGAATGGGCTGTTTTAAATTACTTGAAGGGATTTTTTGTTTTCTGTCCCACCTACAACCTTCCCAGCTAGCTGGTACCGCCAGCTCTGGAGGGTACACGCATGCTTGTCCATGTGTCCATGCAGCTTTGCACTTTCATGTGAGTGTGCAAGTGGAGAACAGCTCTGCTAGCAACTGTCCTACCCACAAGGATGACACTGGAGGATAGTTTGGGGTGGGCTGAGCCAAGCTGATGGGAGAGCCACAAGATGGGTGTATTTCCATTTTCCACAGACCATAGAGATCAGGTGCCCCTCCCTGCACATCTGGCCTCCTGTAGTGGCTCAACATGTAGGGGTTGCAAGTGCAATATTGGTAGTAACAAAAAGAATGGCTTTGGGGCTGGGGCTTTACGCACTGTAAGATGTAGGTGTTGCTTCTGTATGAAATCTCCCTTTTCCTGGTGGTCTTTCAGCAGTTGGTAGGAGGGTGATAGGTCACCTCAGCATTTGAAGTGGCCTCCTCTTGACCATCATTTCTTCTTCCTCCCCTTTAATTTGTGGCTAAAATAATACAGTAAAGGAGATGGTTCTGTATAGTTAAGGTTGCAGTAATGCATATTCTTTGTCATGTTATTTCTCCTGTTTTTCTGAAGGTGAACTAAAATGAATACTAACGTTACCACTTGTTAAAGTGAAAATGGGAGCCAATCAAGGCTGATGTATTAATCAGGCTTGAAAAGGTGTCATATTGGCTGCTTGTGCTTTTCCTCTGAAGGTTTGTGCTAAAATGACAGAGGACAGAAGGTTGAAGTTGAATGGATTGTTCCTTTATAGTCTGAAGCAGAAAAGGCCTTTCAGATTTAGTAACAGCTACTCATGCTGGGGGGAAAAGAAACAACACAAAAAAAAATCACCAAAACTCCAAGGCTTATTATCAACTGTAGGCTCTGGTAATGTGCTGTATCTGTAGGGACTACTTTGCCTGGTGCTGGAAGCTGTGATTACCATGTTTCTGTCCCATCAGGCCACCCTTGGGAAGGCGCTGCACAACGAATGTGTAGGGCAGCACAGTGGCTGGAAGTGCCAGCAGACTGGGAACAATTGAAATCTGGTACAAGTATCAGATGGTCTGATAAGGAAGCTGCACTGCTTTGGCCTGGGGAAGTGACTTCTGACAGCAAGTGAAAACTGCAGGTACAGGAAACTGAGGCTCAATTTGGTGACTAAACTTCAGCACTTGGTGCCATGGGTTCCCTGAGTCCTGCAACACAGGCTTGCTAGGAAGGGCAATGACACTGAGTAGCTGCTCCTTCATGTGACTTTCCTGGTGTGTCACACTTTCCAGCAGGTACCAGATAAAGCTTTCCTATAAACTTGCACAGTTATTTGGGTGTGACTTCAAGGCTAAAACTTAACTAATGGTAATCAAACCTTGATAACCAGAAAGGGCCAACTGATCAACACTGTGGCCTGTTTATACCCTGCATTAATACACTGTAAAGCAAAGAAAGACTTTGTCTTACCTGGAAGTGGATGTGAAGGAGAGCCCTTCATCTCCTCCTTACCCTTACAACCACCTACAGCTCAGTGTACAATTGTGCATGCTTTAGGGACTGTTGATGTTATTGTGTTAATTTCTATGATTTGTTGTCTTATGTACAAACACTTTTTAAAGACTTCCTCTCCTTTTAAAGGCTGCACTGAGGCATTAGTGTAAAAACGAAGTTAACCTGGTTAAATAAAATTACTGTACAGAAAGGAGATCTGCTTAGCTGTGTGAAAGGCTGTCTGGCACTGGATGTAGGAGCTATTTGGAAACCAGGGTGCACCTAGGGTCTGGGTCTCCCTGTGCACTGCTGCAGCTTCCAGCTTTGTGTCACCCTCTGTGGCTGCTTGAGAAAGCACATGGGGAAATCCTGCTGTGACACAACTCCTGCAAAGGCTGTGTTTTATCTCTCAGCTTTGAGAGGATTTTGATTTAGCTTTGCAGGTGGTAGAGCCTATCATGACTTGACAGTGGCTTTATTTATGGTGAGGGGAAGAATCTGTTTTTCCTTGGTTTTAGCTCACAGTATCTGTGAGTACCTGGGACAGAGAGATGCTAAAAGATGCATGGGATGAGATGCCTGCTTGCTCAGTTCATGTGCAAGGGTGGAGGGAACATAAAAGGAAGTGATGATAAGGCAGTGGTGATGTTATTTGGAAGCTACATTAAAATCTGTCTGAGAAACTGTTTTAAGGCAATTTCAGTGACTTGAGATGAAATCCCACTGTCCTGAGCACAGTCTGTCTTTTCTTTAGTCATAGTGGGGAAGACCCTACCTTCCTGCAGGATTTTCCTGTGCTGTGCCAGACTGATTCACTGCAGCAGCTGCTAAGCTCACTGTCCTCCTCTTCAGCCTCTGTGTTTAAAAATAAAAGTTAAACAGTTTGGTAGCTTTTCATCTACCTCAGGAATATTAAATAGGTGGTGTAGTGTTGGAAGTAGTCTCATGCATCAGCAAGAGGGAGTTAGATTTCCTCTTCAACTTACAGAAACTATTCAAGTTCAGTGGATAGTTGTCATGATTAGAGATAAAGAAACTGCATCTTAATGATGTCTGCTAGGGCTTGAAGACAGTACAGAATATCAAAATCTGAAGGAAATCACCCAGTATGAGAATGGCTAAGGGAATGAAGGGACTTATCCTGAATTAACATCTCATTAATTTGGTAGCACTTTTGATTTATGGACCAAAAGCAGAGGGCTGTCCTTCCTCAGAAGAGAGCCATCCTTAAGTGCTCGTCAGTATCAGGCTAATATTTATAATGCCCATGACTTCGAGCAGAAGCTAATCTCAGAATGAGACCCTGCTTAACTTTCTCGCTTGCTTATGTATTAGCCTCAGGTCTGTCTAGAAATGTCTACAGCAGCAGTTTTGTATGTACATCTGTCTTGCAGCTCTCGTAGAAACAATATCACATGCCTGGTAAGATTTAACTAGAATATAAATGTTGAAATATTTAAACACTTTCACTTCTCCAGAAAGCTTTTGTTCTTTACTTTTCATTAAGTATCTGATTGAATAGTAGCAGCTGTCTCAACTTCAGAGATTGCAGAGAAATGTCCTGCATGGAAAATGCAGACATGTTCCTACCGTAATAAAACTCTCAAGCAATAGAAAAGCCTAACTGAAATGGTGCTAGTCTCTTATTTACTGTTCCAGTGCACAGAAAAGTGAGCTCAATATAGTGAGTTTCCAGCTCTTCTACCAGGCAGGTGTTTAAGAACCTTCTGCATGAAGGAAAAGCTTCAAGACAGCGCTAGCAACCTTCAGGGCTTTAGCATGGAGCAGTGAGAAGCCTCTCTGTCTACTAGTGGTCATCTCAGGCACTTTAACAGGTGACAGGGAGGGAAGCATGGGGAGAAGGAGCAGAACTCAGTCACATCCATCTGTCTTCTCACATTATGAGCTGTGTTATGAGCAGTTATGTGAGCCTTCCTTTTTGTCCTTTCACTAGCTGGAATTGGTTTCAAACTTACATGGGAATCTCTTTTTTTTTTCCTTCCCCAAGGGTTTAGCAGTTGTTCTAAAGTGGAAGGGGGTTATTTTAGTTTCAGGGGAACTATGGTATTCAGCTAATTGTGTAACAAAAAACTGTTGTTACTTCAGTTCTCATTAGCTTCCAGATACCTCTTTCAAGAGGTAATAACTGTAGTCTCAAAGTTTACACACCTGACAAAAGCTGCTCTTGTGTAATTCTTCTCTCATCCCCTTGCACAGAAAAGTTAGCTTATAGTGTAGTCAGTTCTGTGCCAGCATTATCTTCTAGGTGCACTAACTGTTCAGTAGTGAAACACATACATGAGACTAGTCTGGAGCTCATGAATTTAATACAACTGTCTTTTTTAAAGCAAAGAGGTCACTGCAAAGCTTAAATGGCTTTTAAGTTGCAAATATTGCCTCACATACTTTATTTTACTGGCTGTTCTATAGAAGACATGAGCTGAATGCTGTGACTTGTTTTCCTTTGCTAAATCTACCTCAAACTTACGAAATCCAAGGAGCTGAAAGGTAAATAGCAATACTTACATCACAAAGCTCTGCCTACACAAGCAGGTCTCCAGTGGAAGTCTCTTGATAGAGGTGAAAGACTGAAGCAGACTTCTGCAGCCTCCTTCCTAGCACAAAAACACTCAAAGAGGCCCACTGTTTGAGTAAGGCAGATCTATTTCAGCACCATAACATTTTATTAAACTACACTATCAAAATCACATTGATGGCAGGGAGAATGTTGCTATCAGTGCGTATTTTGTGTACTAAGACAGAAGTCAGAGCCTGCAGCACTTGCTGAGGAAAAGGATGTTGAAACAGAATGCTTCATAGCCAAAGAGACGGTAGAAAAACTCTTCTACAAAAAGGAGGGCAGTCAGGGGCTAGCTGAAAGACCTAAGGGAAATGCTTCAAGTCAAAGCAGTCAGGGGAGCTCTCTTTTAAAGAATTTACCTGTAACTGGTGTTTGTTAGCTTCCTCTGAGATACGAAGATGGTGACAAACAGCAGTTTCCAAAGAGCATCCCCTGCGACTGGCTGTTAGCAAACCCACACAAATATTGTGTACTGCTCCTTCACTTGTGAACTGTGATGCACACGCTTGAATACAACAGCTCAAAGTAGACTACAGTTATAAAAACCTGCTTTGTCTCCTAGAACACACAATAAAAATTAGCAGAAATACATTCTATACAGAAGTTAAAAAAAAAAGTTGTTTCAAACAAATATTAGAGTACACCAGGTTGAAGTTAAAAAGTCTTACTTCTAACACCTATACAGCTATTTCTAGTCTCCCCCTGCCACTGCTGTGAAACATGCCCTAGCAGCTGCTGAAAGCTGCTTTGTGGCCCAAGCAGGACACCTGGCAGCCTTGTTATGGCAAGCATCCTGAGGAGCAGATCCTAAGTTGCTTTTTGTGACAGGCCTTCTGAAGGGCTGCAAATAGAGGTTGCTATGAAATAAGGCTCTTTTTGGTCTTCGTATGAAGACTCATTTCAGAAATGTGTTGAACAGTGGGAACACAATATGGCAGTTGTCTGTTCTACCGCTCAGAGGACAGGCTTGTGCCAGAGTGGTGGAAGGCAAGGATAGTTTAAATTCAAGAGGAGAGGAGCTATATACACCAGTCCCAATGCAATGGGTCTCTCAAATAGAATATTGTTCTAAAATAATGTTCTCAAGCCCAGCCAGCTGGGGTTCTGCTTCACAGAGGTGTTTGGCAGTGCATCGGCGTTTTGGGTTGTGTCAGTAACACCCTTCCTTCCAGGAATCGTCCACAGTGCTCGGCGTGGTTTTTGCTGATTGAAGAAATCTGGTTTGGGAGACAAAGAATCACTCACAGCTACAAGAAACAACATTCCCAGTAACCTATTGGATATGCACAGGAATGTGGTTGAGGCTTCAGCTTACACTGGGCTTTTGCAGCAACTGCCTTAGGACAACATCAGCACCTGCCTGCCTTAGGTAAAATGCAGCAGCCACTCCCCCCAGATCTGCAGCTTCTTCAGCAAAGACATATTTAACCTGCTGTACTACATTATGAACACGACTGTGAGTTTTTTCTCATGCCAGAGGTCAGAATAAATACATTTTTCTGGCAAGTGTGGCTAAATACATGAAATAGAATCGGGCTGTATATGGAGTATTGCTACAAATTAAGCACTTACTGTGTTTTGTTTTAAAGTAAAGTAGATACAATATGGGTTAACTTAAGGCTACAAAGGGACATTACACATCAGAAAGTCACGATGCAATATTGCTTATCAATCTGAATCACAGAATCACCAAGGTTGGACAAGACCTACAAGGTCATCCAGTCCAACCATCTGATATAGAATCAACTTAATTTCCCATTAAAAGCTTACATTAAAACTGCACTCTAAATGACTGTAAAAAGAAAAAGTAGCTTTTGGCAATTTGGTAAGGGATTTGCCATACATGGGAGTAGAGCAGATGGCTGGGGATGATGGAATAAGAGAACACTTAGCTCTAATGGCATAAAGCACTCCATGCATATAGATGGTACAACCATTTTAAAGGCTGCTTTATTCCTTAAAGACTTCATGCTCTAACCAGGGAGCTGTTGCTTTAGACTATCTCCAGACTTCAGCTATCCACTGCTTAAATATTTAAGTATCCAATCATAAAAACTAAAGAATTAGGAATAATTGTTCAAAACAATCTGATTGCACCACACTGAGTTAAAATACAGCCTCTCAATCAGTTTCTTGTGCAACAAGGACACAAATTACGGGTCAGGGATACTTTGGGTTTTGCTTTCAACCTTTTGAAAAGGGTATGAAGTTACTTTAATGACACAGGACAAATAGTCATGGTTTGTCCTAAGTATATGTCTATTATACCTACTTTTCAGATTCTTCTACGAACTCACTGGGCCTTGGAAAATCTCCTAGCTAAAGATGGAGGCAAAGTCAGTCATCTGGGAAGATTATTATATTACCAGTAAAGAGAGTTCATTAATATTTTGGGAAGATGTTTCCCTTCCTAAAGCCAGAGGTATGCACCAAATATGCCATAATGTTCATCTCTTACACAAATAAAGTTGAGCCCACAATTCAACAGTTTCCCAATCAAATGGCTTATGAGATATAATCAGTAGCTCTGCCTCAACTCTATATTTATGGCTCTCTTTTAAAAGAAATCCAAAATGAATATCGCTCTATTAAAAAGTTCCTAATCTGTGCAATAAAAGCAGAGATTGAAGTCTGCAAGGCTTAAAGTCTTACCTCTTGGACGGCGGCGTCAGCTTGCTCTTGGGCACTGAAGTTCCTCCAAGAGATGTGCGTGCCTTCAGGGGTGAATTTTTTGCCACAGTGACCAAGCTTCTGGAAGTGGAACTGCCACTGGAAGGGCCTGTGCTAAGGGAAGAAGCCTGTGGCTTTCGAACTCCACTAACAGGAGCTGTGTAACTGCAAGCTTTCACCGGCTGCCTGGGTGTTAACAGAGAGTTTGTGCATGACCCAGCTTTCATTGGTTGTCGCACTGTTAGAGGAGACTGCCCAGCACTGGAGGAATACCTGAGCTTACTGGGAGCCAGACCTAGAAACAGAATGACAAATAACAACTCAGTATTTTAAGAACACATCAGAGTACTGGGCCTCTTAAGGGCCTCCGTATTTGCCAGGAAGTTTTAAACAGAAGAAGAAAAAAGAAAAGAAAAACAAAAGATAGCCACTACAGCAGCGTGTAGAAGTGTTGCACTGACTTGCTGATGGTTGCTGAATTCTTGAAAGTCGACTGCTGGGCACCTGCAGATCTGACTCCAAGCTCCGACTGCTTCTCACAGACTCCAAAGCTCGAAGGCTCGTCCTGGCCAGGTTGGGCATGCTGTGGCGCATCTCCTCTGAAATCAAGAGCAAGTTCATCATTTGCTGCTTCTGGCTTTCTGCAACCAAGATGTATAACAGTATGGACTACTCCTAGAAACAATGGCATCCTAGCTTATATCAGGAATGCTGTGGTGAGCAGGACTAGGGAAGTCATCCTGCCCCTGTACTTGTCACTGGTGAGGCCTCACCTCGAGTACTGAGTTCAGTTTTGGTCAACTCAGTACAGAAAGGACATGGAGATGCTGGAGCAAATGCAAAGAAGGGCAACAAGGCTGGTGAAGGGCTTGGAGAATATGCAATATGAGGAGAGACTGAAGGAACTGGGGCTGTTTAGTATGGAAAAAAGGAGGCTGAGGGGAGACCTTATTGCTCTCTTCCAATACCTGAAGGTTACTTACAGCAAGAGCGGGGCTGGTCTCTTCTCACTGGTGACAGGTGACAGGATGAGGGGAAATGGCCTCAAGTTGCACCAGGGTAAGTTTAGGTTGGATATCAGGAAACACTTCTTTACAGATAGGGTTGTTAAGCACTGCAATAGGCTGCCCAGGGAGGTGGATGAGTCACCATCCCTGAACGTCTTTAAAATTCGTTTGGATGTGGTGCTCAGGGACATGATGTAGCAGAGGGTTGTTACTTAGGATAGTATGGTTAGGTCATGGTTGGACTCGATGATCTTTAAGGTTTTTTCCAACCTGACTGATTCTATGATTAGACTCTTCAAGATTTTTTTCCCTTCCATTAGCATAATTGTGCCATTAAAATACAGAAAACTGATATCCAAGCAAAACAGACACACATTTTAATTACCTGATGTCAAAAGCCCACGACTGGCTCACCTTCACTGCTGGCATACTTCAGCCGGTCCTGCATCGGGCTCTGCACAGACCTCCGCGGGGGACGGATACGAGAAGCGGAGGCCCTGCTATAGTCTGCACTGGAAGAAGAGGACTGACACCTGGGGGAGCTGAGCGGGGACGGTGAGTATCTGTGGGCACTGCGGTACGACAGGGAACAGTCATAATCGTCCTCGTCCTCCAGGCTGTAGGTGTCGAACTCCTGGTCGCTGTAGGTACCCCTGCGCAGGGAGTGCAGGGAGGCACTGGAGCTGCGACGCGATACGGACGCTGAGCTGGAGGCGCAGTCCTGCCGGAGACCTGCAGGTGGGTGGAAATGCAGCTCCAAGTCATCCCAACTCACAGCAAAACCTCCCCACCCGCGTGCAGCACTACACCAGAAGCAATGATTCCGAAATGATTGTCATTCATTTCACTTTGGAAGGAGGCCTGGGCTAATATAGCTATCTTAGCAAAGACGTTCTCAGCATACAGGATCTATAAGCTGGAACAGTGTCACCTATATCAGTACTGCATCATCAGAACAAGGGGTTACTATTCAAAATGACCCAAATTACTCCTCACGTACACACTTTCAGACTATGCATTACTATACAAGCTGTTTGGTAAAATACATACATGAGTTTAATTTACAGCATGAATATTTTAGTGCAATTAACTGTGCACCCACCTGCATTTCAACAGGTTGAAGCACAGATTTGAACTTTTGCCTTGTAAGTGAATAAACACCTGTTTTTCATTGTGTGCATCTGCCTGGCTTCCTTTTAGCTCCTCACCCAACCAGTGCCTTTATAGAAGCTTTCCTGCCTACCAGAACACAGCCCACTTCTTACCAGTAACTCGCTTAGCAAACTGGTTGAAGAGACTTAAAAAAATGAGCCAGTTCACATTCTGAAAAACTTCTTTCTCTCTGTAGTACAAAAAGCGCTCATTGGAAGGAAAACAGAACTTCATTCTTATTTCTTGTGAATCTAATGATGAATTTGCAGAGGCCAACAGATCCAACTGCTTTGTTCCACCTCAATCTTCAATTAGGACCTTATTCAAATCCCACTGAGGTCAACAAAAATTCACCAATGATTTAATAGGAGCTGCATCAGGGCCCTAAAATCCCCCCACGCTACAACACAGATGCTTTATGCCTGGTTGAATTTGCAGAGCTGTCTCTGAGCATTTTACCAGAGAAGAACCTAAATTGTAATTTCAGCTCTTTCAGTTTTAGTACTTTTAAGCTCTGGGTTTGACTCAACACAGCAGCAAACACAGCTTGTAACATTCAGTGCTCCAGCAAGCTTCCAATGTGATTTCAGACTGCAGTCAGGCAACTTCGCTCCAAAAAGAAATAAACTTACAAGGAAAACACTTAGCTGTCTTATTTTTTCAGCTGGAACACTTCCCCAAACCTACACATGCTGCAGCCACACAGCTGCTCATGTTGGCTAAGCAAGGTAACAGCAACCAGATTGGTAATTGCAGGCAGCTGTTGCCACTGCCCTGAAACACTCACAAAACACCACCTGTATTTGAGAGGCAGTCTGGGATAGAACACTTTGAAGGCTGATGGCTGCTGGTATGTTTAACACGGTTGGGGTTTTGGATAATACCTTCAAGACCATCCTCTGCTCTAGGAGGTTTAATCTTGAGAATGCTGCACCATTGCTAAGTTTTAAGTGGTAACTTGTGGCTGTGGATTTTTGAAAGGAAGCCCTACAAAACACAAACATTTCAAATGATCTATTAAACCCTTTTGTTGTTGGGGGAAGAGAAGAACAGCTGAAATGCACCTACTCTTCTCTACAACCCTAAAACTGTACCACATAGGAAATGGCTGTCACATACTTTCTTCCTGAAGGCGTGCCATAACCTGGACATCAGTCAAGTCCTGCAGCTTATATCCCATCGAGATGGAGTCATCAGATGTGCTCAGCTCGCTGTCCACGGATGACTGTGAACTCAGTGCAGAATGCATGCTTAAATAACCTTTAGGAGGGAAGAGGAAGAACAGAACAAGCATTCAGGCATCCGCATATGAAACAAGGATGAGCAGAAGAGCATTTATCCCTGTACTAATAACCAGTGCAGTTACAAAGCTGAGGTCTGGTGGAAATAATGAAGAAGTTAGCAGTGACATAAGAATACTTTGCTCAGCTTTTTAACCTGCAATTCTAAGGAGGCAGATGGTCTTTGGTTAGGGAGAAGTTTGCCACCCTCTGACAGAAGGTAACATAGATGTTACTGCTAAGTTTGAGCTTAGAAATAGCCTTTCCAAGGTCAGTATTCATTCTTTCTGCCTGTTTTGAGAAAGGGATACCTACTGATCTAGATAATAAGCAGAAGTTGCAGGATGTGTCTGGCAGGGTGTCAGCTGGCAACCAAAGGAGAAAAAGGATCCAAGAGGCTTTCACACTACGGTACCTCAAAACTCAGTCCCACAAATTGCTTCTGTAAAGCACAGTTTAAGTGGGGTTACCTCTTCCTCATCCTTGAGGTTTATCTGTTTCCTTCCTCTTATCATTAACTACATTCTCACGGTGCAAGATAGAACAATGAAACCTTTACAAAAACCAAACTGGAAGGATCTTTCTCCCAGTGAAGTTTTCCATAAGTCAGGCATGAGAAAGAGGAACAAATAATTTTCCTTTAGAATAATATTGTAAAAAAATCATCATCATCAAGTGCAGAATGCTACCTGCTAGCACATAACACTTCTCCAGTTTGAAGATGCTCACAGACTGCAGTAGAAAAGTAACTGTGGCATAAGGGCTGTGTGTGTGTGGCACAAAACGTGACACCCTCCAAAGCAAGGCACTCCAGCACTGAGACTGAACTTAATACTGAGGACTGCACCCGTAGGATGCAGTATAATGAATAACTTCAGGTGCTGCAGAAATACTTCACTCTGGTTAAAAGAGGAAGGCTGATCATCTGATGCAAGCAACAGCTAACGACAGAGATCTGAGTGCTGAGCATCAGTTCAAAGCCAGGAGAAGGACAAGAGACTCAACTTGTATTAGTTCCATACTACTCCTTTGCATGGTACAGCTTGGAACAGTTGGCAGAGTTCAAATTTAGGCACTGATATGATTTGGAAATGCTCGGTGGCAACAGAAGCACAGAAAAATCATCTCCAGTAAGAAAGAAGAAATTAAGAACAATTTTATGGACCGTAAGAATCATTCATCAACTGCCTAAAAAAAACATGAGCGAGAGACTTGAGGTTAAGGCAAATTTCCTCCTGTCACATTCTGACTGCTTACCAGAACAGCTCCTTATGGCAAAAGCAGGAGAAATACCAGAATAACACTGAGCTATTTGAAAGTGGAGTACTGCACAAAGTCCAAGTTTCCTGATACCAACCAACCTCACATGAAAGACAAGGAACCTTTCTTTTAGTACAGATAAAAGAAATTGATTTAGAGCTCTTTTTCCCCAGAGAATTCAACTTGTGAATATAACCAGGTGCAAGTGCATCCTTCTGTTTACAAAACAGAGGCCAACGTTCATTTCTATTTACAGCAGATCTCCTGCAGCTGGGAAAACACACATCTGCAAGGCATTGCGTTGTTTCAAAAAAGGTTTGTTCAACATCAAGTTTCAAGCCTGAATCTGTTAACATGCTTTGTTTTTAAACATGCAAATTAGGATATAGTGATCTCCACAAAGGGAAAGAAAAGAAAAAAACAAGGAAGATTCTTTTGATAAGGAGCCAACAGGCAAAGCCAACAGACCGTGAACTGCATCAGGATAAATGACGCTCCTTGACAGAGCCTGCATGGACCCCTCAAGCAGCAGCTTACAAACAAATGCAGCCTAGAGGCCAAGGCATTGAGGAGAAGCTTTGTTATTACAGCCAATGCAGCCCTTCAACAGGAATTTTGTTGGAGTTGCCTCTGAGTTAGTTGTGTTTGGGGTAGGATTTCCTAAGTCTGATGGAGAGCTTTTGCTGTTTGTGTTTAGTTGTTCACTCACCCCATTTGAAGACATGCCCTGGAAGCTGTGCCTTCTCTAACAAAGCACAAGGCTTCTTTTTTTGTTGCCCACATTAACCAATATTTTCAAAAGAAGCTTCACAAGCTTTAGAAAATAAAACACACACACACAAACCCAACCAGAATCCAAGTTACTTTATATAAGTAATACCTACATACCATAACATTATTCAAGACCAAAATGGGTCAGTTTAAAAATATATTAAATGCTCTAAAAACAAAACCACAATATAGCTACAAGACATTTAGCATGCAAGGAGGTTTTCTCCCACGTAATAGATGAAATCTGGGTAAGAGAGCAAATTAAAGTGAGAAAACCCCATGGGTGGACTTACAGCTCTTGACAGTTTTTCCCTGTGTCCATTAGTAACACTCCTTGCATTTTAAACAACACAGGTTGCACTGCTCTACTGTCATGCCATACCTGAGCTGCCACAGGTTAGTAGTGCTTTGTTAGTCGATTTGAGATGCCCAGGAGAGTTTAGTGCATTGCTACAGGAGCCTGTCTCTGTATTCAAATTATGTGCGCTTGGTGAGGCCAGAGGACTGCAATACAGGTTTTTCCATCTACTGGCTAGAAGGAAAAATACAGAAAAGCCACAAAGGTTATCAAATTGTGTTTCAAAACAAATAGTAAAAGATAAAGAAAGGCATAAGGTCAAACAAGATTATTAAATGTCGTAGAAGATGGACTTGGACTGAGGCCTCCTGCTGGCAGCAGGGAGAAGGCGTGGGCAGCAAAACAGCACCGTTCCCTTGGCCTCCTCTCCCCTTTGCTTTGTTCTGACACTTTTGAAGAATTCCAGGAATAACTTCTGACAAACTCTGCTTTGAAGATGCTCCACATTCCTGCAAGTTTCAATGCTGGTCTTCGAAGGCAGCTGTTTTCATAAATACCCATCACTGCTACACATTCGTTTTAAAGAGCATCACTGAGCTTTATGTTTTATTTTGAATTCCTAACGATAGAATCAAAAACATCAAACTGTAGAAAGCTGTGACTTTTTCAAGAGCAAATGAGTACACAAAACAGTCACTCTGAAACATTCATTCAGTGCACAGACTTGCATGCGAGTTACAGAAACACTCCAAAAGGCAGGTAGCAAAACTGGGCACATCCATGCTCACTGAATGTGGAAACGTGCAGCTGCAACACTCAGGTAATGACTCTCCATGTGACCTGCATGTATCCGAATTGCCCACCACACCCCTGCAATGAGGAGAACAGTAGCAAGGAAAATTAATGAGGGTTCACTGTAAGAGCAGTTGTAGGTTCCCTCCACTAACAAATATTAACTGTTTTAGTTAAAAAGGAGTGGGAGTGCCAATAAAGCCCAACACATTTTGGTGAGGAAGCAAAGAGTTAATCAAATGAGTCCTTGTTTAAATTGCTAAGTGCAGATGTGTTATAGAAGCAAATGAAGTTTGAGAACAAACTATGGTCAGTGTTACCTTAAATCAGGAATTTCAAGGCTAAACAACTGCCTATAGGAAAGCTGTATGGTAGAGAAAGATCCACAACACAGAAACGTGTTATTTGTTCTCTTTAGACCCACCAGTGCCTTGCTATCTGTGATTCAGCTCAGTGTTACTAAATTCCAACCAGGAGCATATTTGAAAAGACAAAGGTGGGATTATCCACCAGATGTGTTCCAGGTGATGTACCACAGACACGTAGAAATAAAACAACCTCCTTCCCTGTGTAATGGAGTAAACCATGCATCCATTCCAAGAGCTTTTACGTCAGAGAACTGTTCACATGGAATTGATCCTTCTGTGCTCTGAGAAACATCTCTGCATCCCACTTTAACAGATGGTAAAACTGGAGGAAAGAATAGTTGCCCAACTCACACCATTTCTTCAAATTACAGATTTTAATAATCCTTTATCTTAAGTTCTTAGCATCAGACAACTATTTTACCCAGGTAATAACATTAAGAGAAAGTAAAAATGATCAGCATTGGAACCACTTAGCCATACTAGAACTTCTTATGTAGAAAAGAAAGCTTTAGAAATAGATTTAATATAATCACTAACCCCCAAACCACATTTTTTCCTATGTATTTTTATATTTGAGGTCTGTAAGTATCAATAGACCTCTGTTAGCTGTTTGAAAACCCTGAAGTGTCCTTCAGTGGTTTTAGGGTCCGTACATAAAAAGATACACAGAGGCAAGACAAAAGAGTGAGACTGTTTAGTCCATCACTTGTAATCAACACGACATCGTAATGTTTACAGAACAAACTCTTACCTTCACCAGCTGATAGGGCGACACACAGTGCTGTACAAACACACAGCAAGAGCACAGCAACCCAGCGTTCTGCCTCTACAGATATTCTGCAGTGAAGTGACCGCAGACCTCACGTCTCTTATTTTATTGCTCCTCGAGGATAGAAAGCAGGCAGGTGGAAATGAAAGAAGCAACGCTTGTGGTTTACATACCTTGGTCCAGCCTGCTGATAAGAGTCCGGCAGGCAGTTTCTGTCTCAGGGCAGGGATTGTCCAGCACCTGTCGGCACCACTGCAAAGGCGAGCCTGTCTTCTGATTGACAACAGATTTCCTCGGGGACACGTACAGCCTTTGGGAGGAAGTGGCAGGAACAAGGCTCATTAATTAACTCACGCACACAACCTCAGGAGTAGCACTTACAGAAGCAACAGGAAAGTTATCCCAACTAAGAGGGAAAAGATTAAATTGCAAACTATGACCCGGAAAGCAAATTGATTGGCATGGCAGTTAAACTCTAATTTAGAGACTGCTTCACAGAGAAATACATGCTCAGCTGCCAAAAGGCAAAGTTCAAGCCTAGCATGCTAAATTACTACTGAAACTAAGTTGTTGAGCACCCATTTCCATTTGGCTTACTGGCCATCATCTGTCACCCCTTCCTCCAGCTCTCCCACCCAAAAAACATGTCACAGAACGAGATGACAAAAGCTGGTAAGGGTGAGGAACTGATTTCATCTTTACTTTCATCTTCTTTTAGAAGCCTAACTGCTTTTAATGCTTTGTTTGTTTAAACACACACAAAAAAAGCACAGCTCTGTACTGGGATAAACCACTTAATTAAAAGCTTTAGAAACCTTCGAACAATGAGAAAGTAGAAGCGTATACCAACTTTTCTTTTGTAGGCTAAGCTTCTGATAGCTGTAATGTACCTAGCATCATTTTGCACATACAAACAGGATAAGCCTTATGTATAACCAGATTTAATCAGCTTACAGTCTTGGATGACTTACAGCTGATCACGTGTAAAGCAGCACCGTAACCATTTCAGAAGCAAACAACTTCTCCCAAGAAATGTCCTGAGGTAAGCTCCCTGCCTGCCATCACACACACCTGACTTCACCACCAGAGTCCCACCCAAACAGCCCTAATTCAGTCTGTGCAGCCACGGCTCATGCAGGAGTTTGTTTGTACCAAACTTTACATAAAACCACACGCAAAATAAAAACAACTCCAAAAGCCACTTTGCTATCGACAAAGGAAATGCTGAGAAACGTCAACACGAAGATTGCTGTATGTACAACACTGTCTTTTATGACAGACCTCAAAAGCAGATCTTGCTGCTTGTGTACTAAGCAGGCATTACAACTGCTCTGACTGAATAAAAGAGAAAGAAGAGCTCTCTCCCTGGGTTCATTTCACAGTTCAGACTGAAAAAGCAGCATAAAACCAAAAAGAGGCCAGCAGCCTCCTTAGGGCAGGGCAGGGCAGGTCACACTGCTCTCTGCTTATTTTAGATTATGGGAGAGAACCTTGCTCCACTTTGGGAAGTCCTCACACTGCTCCACTCCTCAGAGGTTCCTCCTCATGCTGCCCCTCCTCAGGAGCACAGCAGCTGAGAATGATGGCACCTGGAGCAGAGCAGAGCAGCCCATCCTGCAGGCAGCCAAGGGCTCATTCCTCAGCTGACAGCTCTATTGGCCACAGATGGTCTCGCTTATAAATTAACTAAACTCAATTAAGTAAGGACAACTCCATTTTTCAGAGCACTGCCAGGCAATTTATAGATGTCTTCTGAGGAATCCTGGCTTGATTTCATAGTGTCAGTTTTGCTCTTTTCCTTTTTAGCAGCTCTGGGAAGGCCACAAGTTGCAAGGCCTAACATAAAACTCAGAAATAGACACTGAGCAAATAGGCACAGTTTGATACATCAGGATTTGCTGTGTAGTTCATCAAATATTAATGAGATTTTCTACCATGTCTATAAAGAAGCCCTTGGGCAATGCATGCTTAGTTCCTCCCCATTGCTGCCCACGATTTCCTGTTCCATATGAAGTATGCTGTGAAGTGCACCTCAGGTAGGGGGCAAGGCACTTAGTTGTGCTGCCAGCACAGCAATATTCACAATATGCAATATTTGCATATTCCAGCTCACTGAAAGGAGAAAATCCTCCACAGATTTTTTTTCCTGGGGTTTGCTTTGCAGGAGGATGGATGAAGCTACTGACCACTCTCAGCTGATTTTGAATGTACCACCTTCAAGAAAGGCCTCAAGAATCTTGGAAATACTATTATGGCAACCTTCTGAAATTGCACACTTCGCTATAAAGGCTTCCTCACAATTTAGCAACACGTCGGTTCAATTATAAGAAGGCAAGCCAGCAGTGACTGCACATTAAGGCCAGAGCCATGCAGAGTATTTACACCAGTCCAAATGCAGACTGCAAGATGAGAATTGAGACTGCAGAAAGAGCTGTGACCAATTGATTTCTAAGTTAAATCGGAAACAAAACAAACCTCGGTTGTTACAACACACACCTGGTTTCTCACACATCACCTGCAGCACTAGCAGCTGTAGGTGTTCCAAATACGCTACACATGATAGCCATCTGGGATGCAAGGAGAACCTGAGGTAGCTAAATACATTCAGAACAACGTAGATGTACGTGTACCTTCTAAGGGACACCTGAATTGCTCTGTATCACGTGTAATTCAAGGCACTCACGTTCTGCTCCTTTCCACAACAGCCTTTGCAGATGGCCGATTCAGACCTAGCACTGTGCTTCTACTGTTCCAGCACCAAACTTAACACTGCTGCCAAACAGAAATGCCAATAACAGCAGTGAAAAAGCACTGTCCAGGTCTTGAGGGAAGAGCAACAGGAAAGCAAAGGAGAAGAATCCTCACACAAAACAGCTCAATTAGCGGTGTGAGCTTTCACTCCCAAGAACCAGCATCTGCAGAAGGAAAATAACACAGTGCAGCAAATCCCAGAAGAGGCACTGCTTCTTTGTGTCTGTCTAGTGAGTAACTCTGCTGGACGAAACACCGAAAAATCGAGGCACGAAGGCAAAGCAGCTCTGAACACTGTGTTAGTTTAATGTCCTGATGTGAGTCTGCAAGGCGATGACAAGGCAGCGTGGGGTGCTGTGAGCACTGCACTACAGCACTGCCGCGGCACCGAGCGGCTCCTGCAGCACTCATGCAGCAGATCTGTCCCTTGTGCTGTGGCTGTGCATGAGAGCAGACAGCACAGCTGCCATCAGAACGGCATCCTGCAGCTAAGCAAAGGCACAACACATTGTTAAAGCCAGGCAAGGGGAAACGTTTCTAAGTCATCAACGCATTAATGCAGTAGAGGCAACTGATACAGCTAAAAGTACCCCAGCAGCATTTCTAAAATCTGAAAAGCTTGCAAGTTACTGTTGCTAACTCACACAGTTTTTGGCAAAGGAAGATCACAGAACTACTGCACAGCCTCTGGAACATACTGAGCAACTGCAGCTCTCCCCCAGCCCTGTCCCATGGTACTGAGTTGGTGCAACACCTGAACTCTGCATGGGAATCACATCTCCATTTGAGGGAACTCCTCCCAAAGCTCCATGGCTCTCTGATGTACAAGCAGCTAACAGCAACATCCCCATTCAAACAGGAGACAGCACGAAGGGAAAGGCACAGCCCACTTTCAGCTGAAATTCAGGATTTGGGGAATGAAAACCCTGCGAGGCGCAGACATAACAGCCACACAGGGGTTCCCAGAAGAACACACTAGGAAGACTGCCCAAAGCCCCATCTTACACTTGTTCTTCATCCTGATGGCTGAATGAATGGATGCACGGAGGAAGCATTGCTACTCATTCCAGCAATGGAAAAACATGGGTCAGAAGGGACAGGAGTAGAAATAGCCCAATCCAGAAAGCAGAAAGAGTGAATTCTGACCTCTTCAATACTTCTACCATTTGTTTCTCCCTTTTGTGCAAAGTCACACTCACAGGAACGCTTTGTGTTTCAGGGGTGGCTGGAATCCAAATTATCCTACTGCAATTCCAATCAAATTGGAAAAGTGAGGGACCATTAGCAAAGCACAGAACAGGCAGCATGGGAACGCATAACAAAATGCCCAACACAAACCACGGCATGCAGAACAACGAGCTACATTCACAGACAAAACACAACGCAGCCGTTACGCAGGGATGAAAACAAGGCAGAATTTGCCTGCCTATCTGGTTAGCTCCCCTCTGCCCTCCCACAGCTGGGGAGCTGAAGTGCAGACGAGGAGCAGGCAGGAAAGCAATACAGGGCAGGGCCCAATGCAGCCAGCAGCACACACTGCCCACGGCTGCCGGATTGGCTTCGGGGAGATTTACAATTGTGAACAGCTATCTGAGAAAGCGACCTGAGGAAACAAGTCAAGGGACAGAGACCCAGCAGTACTGAGTTACAGTCACTGTGTGCAGTGCCCTACCTCATGTTTCACTGCACGCACCCATCCCACCCCTGTCTGTATGTACATAACTGCCGATGCCCTGCAGTTATGGGAAGGTGGGGCGGCCAGAAGGACAGTGCTGGTACAGGTGTGGTAGGGATGGGAGGATGCAAAGCCACCATCAGCTTCCCAGGTGGTGCCCAAAGCCAGAAATACCCACCTATACACGATGCGCTTCAATCGCAGCTGCAGTTTTCTTCCTTATGTATAATATTTTAATTGGCTGCCAAAGTAACAATACAGTAAGCTGCTCACTCTGACTAATGCACTGCCTGACATATCTGGATATTGCTGCTGTCCAGGCTGTACAAAATCCCACCAATCAGCAAAGCCACCTTATTAAAGTTGATCCTAAATCCGTATAGCATTAGGGGTTTCCTCTTTAAATAAAAAAAGCCCACAGACCCACTGCTATCTGGCTACTGCTGACAGGACCCTGTGCGAATCTGCCAGTGCACGAGATGTTCATAAGAGAATTTGAGATATTCAGCAATAAGCACAGGCCTTCACTACTGAATTTGCGTACATCAACTCCCACTTTCACACTTGATAGAGAAGAACATAAGCCGCTAATTCAAGGAAAGATCAGCCAACTCAATGGCTCCACTGCCCAGCATTTGCTGCCTGGACAGACCTCCAGCTGTGTCTGCTTTCTTTGTCAAGACAACTGAGTTCTGACCGCCCAGGAGAAAAACCACATGCATCGATTTAGAAGAGCACTTCTCACTTAACACATTCCTTCCCAAAACTAATGCTGAAAATAAGTCTTCCCTCATCTTGACATCAGAAAAACGCTTTTGCCTGTTTTTGAGTAAAATTTGCAATTCATATTTGAGCTGACATCATTAAGTTACCAAGCTCTATTCCATCTACAAACAAAAGTTTATCCTCCAACGAGATAACAAATTTTTAGCAACCAATCCAGAATGCTGTCTTCACTGCCAGATTCAACTCCAGCTGAATAAATTGCAGACACAATCTGCAGATCCCTGAGGCTATCCTACCAACTCTTAATTTTCAGAACTCTGGGTAAATCCTTACATCACAGCTTCTGCACAAGCAGGAATTACTCTCAAACTTCAGCTAGTTTTGGCAAAGCGCTGGAAATTCATCTGCTGGTTTATCAAAGAGGCTCTAACCAAGGCAGCTGGCAGAGTCCCACAGAGTAAGGGCAGTTAAGGATTACATCATTGATCTGTTTCAGAAGACGTCTCTGAACAAAAGAAACCAGCTAACTGCAAAGAAACCAGGTTCAGGAAATGGAAGCATATTGTCATCTTAGATACTACCAAAAGGCAAAGCTTCCCAGCAGTCTGAGCTGGCTGTATTACCAAATCCTTATTTATATACAACATCTGATGCTTGTGCATAAAAAGATTAAAAATTCACTGCATTAACTATAGAGACATTAATAGGGAAAGGAAGTTCTATAGGCATGCATGAAGGGGAAAAGTTCAGCCTTATAGCTCAACTCATTTAGAAGAAAAAACATTCCGAAACAGTGGTCTCAAAATAAGAACAATCAATAATGAAGTCACATTCCTGCTGCTTGAAATCAAAGCGGTATGTAGGAACCATGTGATATCTTATAATAAAAATAAAGATTGCATGTTTAACTCACCACTGCAGCACAGCAAACCCTACACATTACCAAAGTTTCAAAATACGTACCAGCTATCATCTTCTTCATTGCAGTTCTCAAGTTCCAGCACTTTCACTTCATCCAGAGCGCTGTTATTCAAAAGGCTTTCTATATCTCCACATTTTCTGTTGGGATTTTGTTGGTTTATTTTAACTGTGGGCTCAGTACCTGCAACGACCAGGTTCCCCATCAGCTCCGTGCTATTACTCCTATCCACACGTGGCAAACACCTCACGTTATCATCAGTCTTCATCTCCACCTTACACGTGTCAGACGACAGCTCCTCAGGAGCACTGAGGCAACCATACTGCGTTTGGGCACCTGTGTCTTTTTTGAAGCAGTTGTTCTCCCCCTCCTCTTTTCGGATTTTGCTCAATTTGCTGTGCAGATCCACCATGATTTGCAACTCTTGCTTCTCGGCCATCGCGTTGATGCTGTTGTTGATCTCCATCCCGTTGAGCCCAGAGTCGTGGTTATCCACGCCGGCGCACATCTCGCTCTGCAGAGCTGTACCAAGCACACTCCTGCGACTCCTCGTCCTCAGGTGCTGGTTCTGGATCTCCAACCTCCTCACCAGCTCCTGCAGCTTCCGCACCTCCTCCAGCTCCGGGCCCACCTCACCGGGCACAGGCTCTGTGCCGGGGCCCATGGCGGAGCTCTGCGTCGGCCCTCGGCCCAGGTCAGGCTCCAGAGCACGGTCCTGCTGTATGAGCGGGGCGCTGCCAGGAACCACCATCATCTGAGACGCACCGCTTCGCTGCGAGACAGGAAAAACACGTCAAACCTACAGAAACGTGGGCAGCATTGCAAAGAAATTTGACTTGAACACCGAAAAACGTTGACATCCATAAGCATAAGCAAACGATATCAGGGCACAAGGTGACCGAATTGAAAAATGTAGCAAAAAAGAACAAATGAACACCTTTCAGCAGGAAGTTTTTCACACAGAGGGTGGTGACGCACTGGAACAGGTTGCCCAAGGAGGCTGTGGATGCCCCATCCCTGGGGGCATTCAAGGCCAGGCTGGATGTGGCTCTGGGCAGCCTGGTCTGCTGGTTGGCAACCCTGCACATAGCAGGGGGTTGGAACTGGATGATCATTGTGGTCCTTTTCAACCCAGGCCATTCGATGACTCTATGATTCAATGAATGCAATGCCTTTGAACACATGCACTAATTATTTTATCCAGCTCGGATGTGTAAATGCTCTGCTGCAAACCAGAGCAGATAAAAGGGCACCGATTTAATCACACACAGCAGTTCAGCTTCCATCTGTTTACAAATGAAATACGCGAGAAAAACACCGACCGAGCAAAGTCAGGAAACACAATTAGCAAAGTACTGACGTCAGACAATGACAGCACGAAGCAAGCGGCAAAAACAGCCTTTGTTCGCTCCCAGGTTTCCCCTGCAGAAACACACACACGCACACACACACGACGTTTGCAGACACGGAGGTGAGCTGACACAGAGCTGTTCCCAGCAGTGCCTACGGCCGGGAGCCGAGCGCAGCGCGGCGCTCAGCACCGCCGCCGTTCCACCGGCACGTTCTGCCGCTGCAAGCCGAGAGACGGCGGCAACTGCTCTGATGCCAACACAGCAACAAAACGGCGGGTAAGCAAACCGCAGCACGGACTGGGTGTCCCGGTAAGTTTTACAGGGGAAGCCATCTCTTCGATCGGCTTTGCTGGCCGTGGAGCGCGCCAGAGGCTCGGCTCAAGCCGCGGTGCCGCGTTCAGCTTCACGCACCGAGCGAGTGAGCGAACGGCGATTTCCCCTTTCCCCGGTGATGCACGCGAGCTCTCGGTCTCGATTCGTTTCCGAACCGACTCCTCCCCGAAAAGCCCCGGCTACCAGAGGAGCTCGCACGGAGCGAGCCGCGCAGCGCCCGGACCGCAGGGCTGCACGGGCTGACACGCGGCTCCGACCGCAGCACGCGGCCCCGCGCCGCCCGGCTGACAAAGGGAGCGGCGGGAGACAAACCGCTCCGCGCCGAGCGCCGTGACGGAGCGACCCCGCGGCGAGGCGCCGCTCGGCGGGGGAACGAGGGGGCGCGGGGAACCGGCGCCGCGGGGAGGGGCCGCCGCGACGGGCCGGGGCGCGGCCGGTCCCGCCGAACCGAACGGAACCGGGCCCGGCCCGGCCGAGCCCAAGGCTCCGGCGCCGCTTCCCTCCCGCCCCGTCGCGTACCTGCGGGCCGCCGCCGCTCCTTCCTCCGGCGACGGACGGAGCCCCGCTGCCGGGCGGGAGAAGGGCGCCGCCGCCGCGCGCGCATTCGGGCCTCGGCCACGCCCCCTGCCCTCGCGCCGGCGCGCGTGCGCGGGGCTGAGCGGGGCGCGCGGCCGCGGCTCCCGCGGGGATCCCGCCCTGCACGCGCCGTCCTGCGGCCCCTGGCGGGGTTCCCTCGGGGGGTGGAGGAGGAGGAGGAGGAGGAGGAGGAGGAGGAGGGGCCGCGGCTGGGCTTCAGCGCGAGGGGGCCGTTTCCGTGGTGACCAGCAGTGCTTCCTGTGGCCTTCGCGTGTGCTTGGGTGCTTCCACGCGAAAACAGTAACGGCGCTCGAGATGCACGCGAGCCGTGGCTTTATTAGAGGTGCATGCTGATGTTACATGATTGCTACAGGACCGCGCAGCGCCAGAGAGATGCTGCAGAACGCACAGCGGGTGAACTGTGCCCCAGAAGGCCACAAACCCACCAGCTATTGCCAAGTACAGCATTTCCACAGAGTAGCTTCTCAGAGGGCATCCGTAACCGTAGGCCTCCTCTGTCCGGAAAGCATCATCTCCGAGCATCCTGGTAACGCAGAGGTGGAGGCAGCCCACAGGGGCTGTTGTTGCTGGGCCTCCAGTTTGCAGAATGGAGTTCAGGATTCCCCCTCAGGCTGTCAGGTCTGGCTCTGAAGCTTGCCGGTAGCAGAGCTGTTACCATTTCAGCTGGAGTTCCCCTCCTGGAGTGCTTTTAAGGTCATGCTTACAGCCTGCTTAAATCAATGGTTGTGGCCTAAAATAATGCTATGGAGCTTTGGTGCTGTAGAAGCACTAACTTGCTAAGCTTTTGCATGCATGCCAGCTTCCATCACTAAGAGCATAAAGAATTACCTGTCTTACAATAGTCTGCTTAGAGCTTTTGCCATCCCCTGTTGGCATGTAAGAGCTACTACAGAACTGGTGTTTTGCAAACATTCCTAATGCTTTAAAAGAGAAAACAGTAACTCTGTAAGCACATTCAGAGCCGTACATTTAAGGCACAGAGCTTCCAGCTTCCAGTGTTCAACTTTCCTAATCTCTCAGCATCTGAACTAAGGGCTAAAATTATGCAGCTCTGACTTTTAGTATGTAAAGCACCTGCTAGAAGGTCAGTTTTGTGAGTGAGCATTTGTGATGTGAATAACTTACAGCAATAAAAGGGGCATTGCAGCAAGCCTTGGAGATGGGGGAAAAATCAGATTTCAGTCAAGCAGTGATCCTTGTCAGGAGAGCCAACTGAGATACTGATTCTCTGGCACGTGTTGTATGGCCATTGGACACCCACCATCAGAGGCCGAGTGAACACTCTTTCACTTGGTAGTTTATCTTCCCCAGCAGACAGCAGAGGCACTGACTGCTGGAGGAATTCACCAGGGAGTAGGAAGAGAAGGGAAATTAAAGCTGACACAACTAAAAAGTGAATGGTGTGAGTCTGCAAGTGCTCCTGAAAGCCCACGGAAAGCAAGCGGAAATCAGGCAGAAGCTTTTTCTAGGCAGAATTTGGGGGGTGAAAGAAGCAGAAATAGGCTTTGCTAGGATCTAAATTCAAACCCTCCCAAGAATCCAAATGTGGTGTTTAACACTTCTTATAGCTGCTTGCTTTGCGCCAGCTGACACGCACTGAGCTGCAACCCGATTGCAGAAATGAAAAAAAAAAAAAATCAGAAAAGGTTTCTTGCAATTAAATTAAATAGACCTAAGGAGCTCTGCCTGGTTTCCAGCACAGGAGCTATCTGGAATCTTAATGAAGTTAAAGACAGGTGGAGGGGCTCAGTACCTCTGGAAAATCAGCCCACCTATCTTTTATAGATGACACTGCCTTATCTTGTTAACATTGGCACTTGTCTTGCATGCAGCTGACAGCATAAGCTAGCAGATGTTAAACTCATTCATTGTGATGAGGCAGTGAGAGGGAAAATAATTTGCAGAAGAGAGAAGCAGGAATTCTGCTATCTTAGCAAGTCAGGAACCAGTAGATATATTCAGATATGTGCTGCTGAGGACTTTCCACTGGCTGCTTTTTCCAGCTTTGCAAAACCCTGCAAGCAAATAAAGAGAAGGTGAACACAGGAGCTGAGTAGCACACAAAACACGGCATTACAAAGGTCAGTGGAGCAGATGAACATGCAGGAAGGGGATGAAGAAGAAGACTAGCTAGTCACATTGCATTAGGAGATGAACAAAGCAGCCATGTACATGGTGAGGCAGGTGCCTCGTTCCTTCCTCCTCTCCATCACAAGGCAGAGGAAGGAAAGAAGGCAACTTATCATAATTTCAGTGCACTGGCAGCATTTCCAATTGCCACTGTGTCGATACGAACCCCATCCAGACTATCAGATAAAACAAAATGCTATCCAGTCTAATTCCTTGTTACTTTGTCAACTTTTGAGAGAATATACAACTCTTTAGTTTTCCCGGTGCTTTAAATAAAGCAGGTTAGACCAGGACAGGAGAGAGAACTATATTCTCAGAGAGAACTCTCCACCTCTGAGGGATATTAGTCTCTCAAATCAGCCAGTCTTCTGCTTGCTTCTGGGAGTGAGGCTAGAACAGTCTGTCACATTATAACCCCAGGTTCTGACTGAGACCCCTGGGGCCAGCTGGAACATATTTCTAGCTACTTTTGCAACAAGGCTCACAACTTCCCACTAAAAACCCAATGAAAAATTCAGTGATTATGAGGGTTAAATGCTCTTCATTCAGTAAACACTACATGAGCTCTCTCATCCGGTCCTGTATGCTGACACCATTAAGGAGGACTCACCTAGAAGAGTTTCTCGTAGCACTTGTCACAGTGGACAATATCCCGGTGGATGAATATTTTATCCAGAAGATCTCCCATTGCTTTGTGGCAAATTCCACACTGCCAAAGAGACAACAGGATGGTTGAACAGTAACTAATGCACCACGTGCTGACGTTAGTGTGATGGGGGCAGATAAATGAACAGTCTCTGTTCCATTTTTGGAAGTATGAAGACGCCAAAGCAGTGACTTTTGAGACTAAACATCCTTGTAACAGAAAACTGGCACTGCAGGCTTCCTTCATTCGCATCTCCCATTTCCACAGGCTCTACAAAGTTTCAGAGATTCAGCAAGCACCACACTGGCAGTAAGTCTAACACAGGGACATGAGGGAAGGGAGTGCTGCTATCTACTAGATGCCAATTTATATGCATTTATGCAAAATGAAAATCTTCTGGGGACACAACAAACATTTGTGTCTGCATCATCAGAATTTGCACCACCTCCCACCACTCTGTTTCACAGCTGCACAGAGAAGACCATCAACAGAAAAGTTTTTTTTACCCTGAAGCAGTATTCATGGCAGTAGATGTTAAGGTGTTCTATTATGATCTTAGGGCAGTCTCGGATCTCACGGCTGCAGTAAGTACAAACAGGTTCACTGGACCTTTGAAAGAACAGAAAAGTAAATTCCTGCACCATGGTGCCTCTGTAACACAAATAGTCTCTTGTCTCATTGCTGGTAAAGAGGTTTCTTAACATGAGCACTGCTCCACACCAGATTCCTGCTTCTACATTTATTTAACAGTACCAGGTGACAATATGGAGGAACATGTGATAACCCAGGGATGCAGAGATGAGAACAGGAGGACAGGACAGAGCTTTAAGTCAATGTCACTGTGTTTTCTGAAGATCATTTAAATTTCATGCTATGATTTCACCAAATGCATACCAATACTGTAAAAGTGTTAGTCATTTCTTTTCAACGGTGTACCAAAATCCTTACACAGCCCCAAACTCTCCTACCTCTGCAGGGGAGCACTGGACACATAGCTGTGGTGGCTGTAGGTTCCTCTCTCCAAATCGGTCAAATCCACAAGGCTACCACTAGAGACAGAAGAAAATGTCAGCACTTGACAATTATACATGGGAGGAACACTGCAGATGGAATCATTAATGATTAATCTTAAAATTCTAACTGCAGTGTCCCAGCTGCCTGCTCTTTGGAGAAAAGGATGGTCCTTCCAAGGTAAAACTGCAAGCAGCAGTATCTCCATCTTTGCACTCCACACTGCATACTCTGTGAAGGGGTGGCTATATCCTGCCCCTAGTTCCATACCACAGCCACGGGTGGGCCAGACCCACAATGCTGCTCTCAGAGGTCCAAACAGATTTGCATAGAACAGGTACCTCCAAAGATAGACCAAAGGGGCAGAAAATATCTGGGGGCCACTGCACCCATGTCAGAGCTCTGAGAAACGTGTCTGGCTGCTGCTGTCAACACAGAGAGGCAGGATGTGGGCAGCATGGCTAGGAAACTGGGGGAAGTACCCAGAAATGGGGCCCCTATGAGCCTAAGGGTGAGGGAGGTGGCACAAGTATGGAGAAGAGGGATAGATCCCTCCTCCATTCTGCTTCCAGCCACATGCTGCCATCCACTTACTCCTTGCTAGCCAGGGAAAGGCATCCCTGCTCTCACCTAGCTGAGTGTTCGCTCTCTGTCCCCAGTTGGCCTGAGGTTTTTAGATGGTGCAGCGACATGCTTATCTTTGGCTGCTGAGATCTGCTTTTGCAGACCTACAGGAAAGGCTAGAGATTTATCGAGTCTGTAATCAACTCCCACAGCAATGCCAACACAGCACTGGGGGAGGATAAATGGCAGCAGAGAGGCAGTGAATGTGGTATTAACTGGCTGCCATGTCAGTGTAAGCAGGGCTTATCCGGAACCAAATTCTGCTCTCAGTCATATTGGTGTCAATCTGGAACTTATTTACCTGTGAGCAGAACAAAGGAATGAAGATTTTAGCCTCAGAGTGGCATCTTCTCAGAAGACTCTTTGAGTGAGACCCCACAAACCCCACATTTCCTCACCAATTCCAGACTTTTTGTTTCTGTGCATAAATGTGCAATGAAGCCTAACAGTGCCAAATGTGCAGCCTAAGGAACTGCAGTGAAGTGTTTTTACTGTCATCTCTCACAGGCTGACCTCACTAAGCACAGGAGTTTAACCCCTCCACAAGGACTTACAGGACACAGGTCCTTCTGTCACTGCAATGGGACGAGGCAGCACATTGCAGCATTGTA